GAGAGAGAGGGAGAGGGGGGGGGCTACGTATACATGATCCTGAAAAAAAAACAGGAAGACAAAGAAGTCATGCGGCGACCTCTTTATTAAACCTCTTTCATTAAATAACTGATTGCACGTAAGCAGTTCAGAATCACTCGCTCTTTTTTACCCCCTTCTATTGTTGGTCCAAAAAAAAGATAAGAGAGACCAAGAGAAAGGAGGGAAGAGGGAGGTACGGAGAGAGAGAGAGAAACAGAAAGAGAGTGAGAGAGGAGGGGCGGGGGAGGGGAGGGAGGGAGAGAGAACGAGCACACGTATATCTGTTCAAAAGGCAGATATCAAACGTGTGAGCAAAGTAAATAAAAGAGACAAGGAAATGTGGGTTTTATCTACATTTTCCTTATCCTTCCTTTTCCATCCAATATTTTCCCTTTTCTGATTCATGACTTATCTTTTTTTTTTCACGGAGCAAATGCTGTTGAAGCATCGGAATATGTGGCATTAGGTCGATCTCGTGCCGTGGGAAAACAGGTAAGAGAAGGTATTCGACATGACATCAGACCTCCTCTTCTCCACCCTCCCCCTCCCCCATCCACCTATATACACGCACACGTGTACGCCCTCATGCACGTGCACGTGCACATGCACGCGCACACGCACGCGCGCGTGCGCGCACACACACACACGCACTCACACATACACACATACACTCACACATACACACATTCACGTACACAGACACACACACACGCGCTCGCGCAAACCTCCCTTTTCTTCTTCTTCTTTTCGTTCAAATACATGTACATGTAATCAGATTGAAAACCAGAAAATCATTCCCGCACAAAGGTAAAACGGGTGGGAGAGTTTACGATAAGGTTTTTGCTCTTCGACCATGAGCTTGGAGGCGTGTTTGTTTGTGTCTTTTTTCTGGTAAATATTTCTGGGAAATCCGTTATAGGGGAAAATCCATGCTATGAAATCAAGCTGTTGGTCGGACCATGTGTGTTTTGGCTTGTAGTCGGGTGCGTATAATAAGTGTATTTGTGTGATTGCATCCATGTATGTTTGTGTATATTTTGTGTGATTGCATCCATGTATGTTTGTGTGCCTGCTTGTGCTTGTATGTATGTGTGTCTTTGTATTTGATGCACGAGTGTTTTGCACAGTTGCACGTGTGCGTCATTAGTCATTGTGTACATGAGGGTGCATGTGTATGTGTGGTAGGTTTGAGTGAGAGACAGAGAGAAAGAGTGTGTGGGGGG